GAGACTGGACAGCCACTTGTTTCAAATTGTATAGGGTCTCCTGCTAGAGCAGGAGGTTGGACTAGAAGACCTCCAATGCCCCTTCCAGCTCTATTCTGATTTTTTGCGAGGGAGGAAACCAGAAATTCAGCTTTTTTTTAACCCCAAAATGTTCTCAGAGTTTAATGTTCATTTTAAGAATTTTCACCATTACATGATTTTAGCTATTTTTCACATTTTTATATTGGTTACCCCCATTAGCAAGCAATCTGGCAACATATCTTCATGAAAACTATGCAGCAGTATCGGGAATCAAAGTTTACTAAAAAACAGATTCAGAATTCTGTTAAATACCTTTAAACAACGGATCTGAGAGTACAGAAATATTAGGAACATCAGTGGTTTTAAAACATAATTCTTCATTTTAAGGAAGGACATAATTCTTAAGGAAAACACAGTACATAACTTGGAATTGCAATGAAGATTCATAGCTGCTGGTTAGCATTTGCAATTTTCAAATGTTTCTGAAACACCCCAATTGTGCAGTTTGTTCCAGCAGGATTCTCAGAGCCATGACAACCAAGCAGAATACATGCAACTTCCTTACATAACATCAATTCACTACTATGGAAACCAAGCTTTGTCACTGACTGCCCTTTTTGATGCTTGTCACAAATCTAGTAAGCAGTGAGCCCCAAAGTTCATTGTGGATTTTGTTGTGCAGATTATTAAAAAAAATAATTGTTTCATTTTCAAAAGAACTCCAACCAATGCATTTCACACTGAATCCTTAAGGAATTAATAAACTGCTCTTTATTGAAACAAATGTTATGGTTTAGTAAGACTGTTAATCAGCAAAAAAATCTGCAATGTACCGTATATACTCGAGTATAAGTCGACCCGACTATAAGCCGAGGGACCTATTTTTCCACAAAGAACTGGGAAAAAATGGTGACTCGAGTATAAGCCGAGGGGGCATTTTTCAGCACACACATTTTTCCGCCTGGGCTAATCGGCCTCTTTGCAACCCCACCCCTCTGGTAACCGCGCGATTGTAGCACTTTGCAC